TAGCCTGTGAAGGCACGCGGGTTCAGAAGGCCGGAAACGCTGGGTGTGTTTTCAGGTGGACGCCGTGGGAAAGGGGCTTGGCGGCTCTTAGAGTTTGGCCCAGCAAGGAGAACCTGTGCTTTTGGGCAAGGCCGTGTATTTTGCAGCACGGCGTCGGCACCGTCTGTGATCGGTTTGATCCGCTGGCTTGCGAAGAAAGGATTGTTGCGTCTGTAAAACATGGATCAGGCGTTTTTGTGTGGAGTGATGGAGGTAAAGCAGATCCTAGAAGACTTACTGTCCGCAGGGGATTTGAGAAGCGCTTTGCTTGCGCGTCGCCAGCAGCCCGTTGTCTGCCCTCGGCCGATCGGGATGGGTCTGTGGTGGATGTTGCGGGTTCAGTAACTCGGCGTTAGGCTGGGCGTCCGTTTGGGTAGCTGACTTATGCTAATACACTCGTAGCTAATACACATTACCTGTGTATTTTTAAGACAAATCGACGAGGTCTTTGTGCATAGCAGGGCAGAAGAACGTGTCTGTGTCCCAAAGGAGCGGAAAGATTTGGAAAAGTGAAATATTGGAGCAGGTCGTTTGTCTTTAAAAAGCAGTCTAGTTACTGTCTGTAACGTGGGGAAGAGAAGGGGTGAATTCCTCTGCCCAGCTCCGAGGTGGACAGCAGTATTCAGCAGCAGCTGAAAAACTGTTTTCCTCCATGATGAAACAATTTTGTCTGTAGGCATGTAGCGGTACAAGCCAGCTTTTACGTGAGTAGTCCTAAATTACTCTGTTTTATCACTTGGAGAAATGTGAATTCTTTTCAGCGTTGTTTACTACGCTGAAACACGAGGCCATTTGCAGGCAGTCCAAGTATGGAAATCTTCAAGTTGTAAAGATAACAAAAGATAAAATTAGAACACATATGAAGGGATGTATAAATTGAGCCTTGTCAAGTAATTTCCAAAGTGTGTGTTCAGTTAAAATATTGATCTGCTCCAATGAAAATTTGTTCTCCGCTCTCAAGCAAGCAAGAGAGAAATGAAATACAATATCCTTCATTAGCAGCGATCCATGAAATATGCATGTGCATACAAGTGCGTTCGGCTTATTATTCTTTGTAAAGCGAAGCCACTATTTTGTTTGTTTTACAAAACGTGCACATCCTATGGGCTAAGCAAATAGAGATGATCTTTTGCACAAAAATGTAAAATTAAATAATTATTTCAACCTGGACAGACTTTGGGAAAAGATCATCGCAGCTGCTTCTGTCAGCCCCAAGGATTCATACCCTGTTGAAAAAGCAGCTATAAAAATGTGACCAGGGGCAAATTCGGAGCTGGGGAGCAGTGTTTGCTGATCCTCCGGTTTAGAGCAGATTTCAAGAAGAACAGCCAAGGAAGGCACGAGCCTGTTGGGCACCTGCTGAAAGGGACATCGACAGCCTCGGACAGAACTCGCTGCCACCCCCCCCCCCCCAAAAAAAAAAATCAAGTATCATTTTTCAAAACGTGGAAGCAGGAGAAACCTCCTACTGTAGATACTGAGTCCATGTAATCAGTAAGCACAGATAAGCCAACAGAGTCCTGCTCTGAGATTCGTAATAATAAATGTAGATGTATTTGCGAAGGTGCAGGGCTCGCTAAGCTAGCGGTGCAGCGCGCAGACCCTGAGCTTGGCATCTCTGCGCGGCAATGCAGAGCTTGGACCTAGGGCAAATTAGCTGCTGAAAGCAAAGGCTGTATGTGATCGTTGCGGCTGCTGGTCGCACCCTGTTGCCTGAGTCATGGAAGTGACTGTCCGCATCCGTTGCATCATCTCCAAGCAGACTTCCTTAAACCAGTGGCGTGCCTGTTTCCCAGATCCAAATCTCTTAGGGGAGAGGTAGGCTGTAAACTAGGCAATAACTACAGAGACCGTGACATTAGATAAAATATCTTAAGACCGTGCTTTCCTAATTAAAAAAAAAAAAAGAATGCAGTGTTTATAAGTGCGAGGGCCAGTATTGCATGCACAGACATCCTTAAGAGCTGGGAGAGACTGAGCCAGTGTGTGATAATGAAAAAGTAGATAAGAAGAAATACAACGTGCATGAGAAAAGTCAATGTTAGACAAGGAAGCAGCGCTCTCTTCTTGAGCCATTGAGCCTAGTGTGGTTAATTCAGAGTGTGTCAGAGAATGGAAGGAAGGGTTTAAAAAAAGAGATGATTTAAGAGAAAACAGGAGGAGGAAACAAATAATGACAAAGAAATCTGTTGGCAGGAAAAGACTTATGACATTGTACATGATAGATGTGCACCAAAGACCTAATCCTTAGGTATCCCTGTACAGGTTTCGCTGGCTGCTCCTGTCGGACTGTGCTATGCCCGCTGTAGGCTTTTTCTGGAAGGGGAGAAGGGATGAAAAGAGATGTTGCTGAAGGAAAATCTTTGACTACTGGGTGGCAACTAAGAAAAGTTTAGACTGGCTCTGTAGGACGCAAGGGAGGGAATGTTTGAACAACAAGGCCTATTAACGTGAAATAGTCCTAAATAACGGTTTTCTCTTTTAAAACAGACAAAAGTGATCATGAAACACCATGGAAAATAGCTCTTTGTTGGGAAGTGATAGACAAAATGAGCTAGTAAGTCTTCCTTGCATTTATTTTGCGCAGTGAGGCTCCGAGAAGTGCGCGGGACTGCTGCGTCACGCCGGTGGCGCCAGGACTGTCCCGCTGCTCGCGCCTGGGGATGCTGCGGTTGCGATTTCCCCCGGGTATGTCCTTCTCCAGGAACGGTCACGCTCTGAAAACATGGAGAAATCCACATTTTCGGAGTGTGCTTATTTGAAAAGTTTTGGTCTGGTTTTGGTTTGAGTGCTCTGTTGGCCAGATCTAAAGCTTCAGAAGTTTTTGTAAAGTTTCAAAACATTGCTGATGGGGAAAGGAAGCGGAAGGGTTAACTTGCCGAGGACCTTCAGATCTGCTTCAGAGGCAGCAGAGAGATCAATACTGGCTCTGGAATAGTGAATAGAAGGAAAAAATAGAGAGTTCTTTTGAAAGGGATGGATTTTTCCCAATTTCCATTCTGCAGTCTGTTATAAAGGAATGGGGTACATTTCTCAGCATGGGGAATGGAAGGGAATCTACAACAATAATCTGGCTTATTTTTAACGTGAAAAAATGTTAAATCTGCCCTGTGGGACCAAAGCTCACGAACTGTCTGTTGGAAAAAACCTATTCTTGCAGGACAAGCTGAAGAAGATGAATCACACTTTTGAAATAATGATACACTGGGTGGGGCAGCGTTATCAAAGGGCAATGTATCATTACTGAATCACGTTGTTTCACTAAATAATGTTTTGTTCAAGAGTATTTAGAAAAAAATAATTCCAAGACGCTAATTTTGCATCTGTTCACGTAAAGGACATCTGGATAAACAAAAGAAACAAGACTCTTGAACTGTAGTTCTGTAGATGTTTAAAACTACCAGGGAGAGTTACGGAGCAAGTTTTCCACGAGTGAGAGCTTTACTTGTTTTTAGAATACGGACACGAAATTCCACTGAGTCTTATAGAAAACTGGTTGCATAAGAGCAGGTTGCTTGTGTTTGTGGGGATTTATATGCCGAATAAACCGTCCACAAAGAAAAATGGTTATCCCGAACTCAGCGAGCTAATGCAAGGAGTGAGACTCTCTTCAGCTCGTCTTCCCCTGCCTCTACAAGAACAAGGCGAACAGGCGCTTCGAGGTGCGTAAACGAAAGCCAGGTTCGAGGGTAACCCGACGGCCTCGCGCCGCTGGACGCGGGATTGCGTAGGTTGCAATCTCTCTCCTTGTTCAATTGTTTTATAGGATATCGAAACTAGGTAGCCAGTGTTTTGTGCTTATACGTTACGTTGCCTGAAGCTGCAAATACTTTTGGAGTAGCTCAGTCAATAGGAAACATCAGACAGAAGCCGAGGACGTTAGCTGGTTGCAGACCCGAGGAAGGCTCGGAGCCTGACTTGTGTGTATGCTGCACAGCCCAAAAGGCATGACTTTCTTTAGTGAGGGGGAGAAAAACTGGCAAGATCATGTATAAACTGTTTATTGTACTGGGGGACGGCAGGGAAACATGGAAGAAGGCGTTTGGATTTGCGTGCGTTTTGTAAGAGTTTCAGGTAACTTCTGGTTAACCAAAAGTAAACAAAAAGGTGCTGCTTATACAACGTACGGGTTAGTGATGAGTCTCCCTTACCTGGCTCCCTTGAAAACTGATTTCCTCCCTACTTGTTTCCACCACTCGTTCGCCTTCTTTTCAAGGAGTTTCTTCCCCCCTTTGTTTCTCTCTTCACAGCTTTTTCCACATTCCCTCACGTGGTGACTTCTATACTCTTTCAAAGAAAGCAGCTTTTTCCCCTTCCTTCACGTTATCTGTTCTTTTTTCTCTAACAGACATCCTTTTCCATCGCCTCCCTTCTAGCAGGATCTATAATGCCTAGCCTCTCAATGCTCCCTTTGGGTGGTGAAGGAGGTCGGGCCTCTTCCAGCCATTTGCCAATTTTCAGCTGTTTTTCTACGTCGTACATGAGTTTTGATGCTCTCATTCTATCCCACGCTGTTACAAAGTCCCTCACCTTTATTCCCTTCCACTTTCCGTCACCCCCACCCACCCAAAAGGCATTTCTCCTGGCAGATAGGTATTTTCTATTTTGGTATATATATCTTAAAACTCTCAAAAGCTGATCCCCATAAATTTCCATGAGGTACCTTTGGAGTCACCCTAACATTAACCTTTCCGTTGCCGTAGGAAAGCGTGCGAAACGACAGTGATGACTAGCTTTGAAAGCATAGAGTGCTAACGGGCAGCCCCAGCGCCAAACGGGGGAGACAGCTCTACTCGTCTGGCTTTTACTTTGCTTTCAAGGGATTAAAAATGTTATGCTGATCAGTTCCATCATGGTTTTTTTTTTCCTCTATTGCTCTTGAAATCCAGTTTGTGCTATCCGTCGTATTAACAGAGCAGAGGTAACAAGCAAAATAAATGTTTTTATATCTTCTCTTCCAGATAAAATTGAAGATGAATTAGAAATGACTACAGTGTGCCATAGACCTGAAGGACTGGAACAGCTTGAAGCACAGACAAATTTTACTAAAAGAGAACTCCAAGTGCTTTACAGAGGATTTAAAAATGTAAGAACACTACCGCAGTGAAACGACTAGCGCAGACGTCCCCACCAGCCTCTCCTGCCTAGATGAGAGCTGCTCAGCTGCATTTCATCTCATTCCCCTGCTAAACACTAGGAGTGGGGGTAGTTTGTGCTAGATCTCCTCCTGCCACAACTAAATGAGCTCCAACCTCTCTCTCTCCATCTAATATTTATGACACCGTAATCTGCCCAAAATTGGGTTTGGATGAATATTCAGCACATAGTATTCTCATCAAGCTTGCTCCCTAAATGTTGTAAATACACTGCAGTTTCCTCAACTTTGCCTATAGGTCAAGATAACCTGAAAAGGTTTTTTACATGTGTGTTTTGGGGGGTTTTTTTGGTTTGTTTGTTTTTTGACTCTTGCTGTCAGTTTGCCGTATTCAAATCCGAGCTGTGTTGTTTGCTTGTTATTAGCTGCCCAGGATGTTTTTCCCCCTCCTCTTTCTGTAGCAGGAGGAGTCTTGCTCTTGTAGGAGGTTGTTAGAGCCCATTTGGAACGTGAAACCCAGCGTTAAATAGAGAGTAAAGCTGGAATGGCAGAAGCCAAAAAAAAAAAAAAATCAGAAATAAATGGGTATCAAGACTGAGGAGGCAGATGAGGGACTCCAGCTGTAGGTGAAAGCAAGGAATGGCCAGTTGGCGTGACTGCAGGCCAAGGACAGCACCGGGCTGGTCTTCATGAGTGTCTGCTGTAGCCAAGCAGGTCCCTGGCAGCATCTCTGCAGCAACCTGAGCCTCCGCTTCTAGGTCACCTGCTGCTGCCTTGTAGGGAGTCGTCATAAATAGAAACAGATAGGGAATGTTAAGGCTACGTGGAGCAGATGTTTTATGGGCACAGAAGAATGAATACTCATTACGTGGTTGCCTGAGGGTCTGGATTTAGTGACCCAGGTGGTTTGTGCCAGCTGATGCTTTTATGATGATTAATAGATCAGTACTGAGCTAGCCCAATAAACACAATGTGATTTTTAAGCTCCCTTGCAGGACAGTCCCAACGTTCAGCACTTCAGATACCGTCACAACGAAATGGTGAGATTTCTTTGAAAGAGCAAGTCAAGTGTATTGGGCAAAACATTGCCAAAAGAAAGCTGAGCTTTATGTTTTACGAGCATTAAAAATAGTCAGTGTAGAGGGAAACCTGTTGCACGTTGAAAAGGGCCTTTCTATTTAACAGGTTCTTACATTTGACTGAATCATGGCTCCGATATATGCTCGCCTGAGGAGTCCAGTGGTCTGACCCTTTCTTTTGCTGCTTGGCTAAGCAGACCAAGGCACAGCTCAGCTTTCAGGATTTTTCTGTTCAGTGCACTTGTTGCACTTGTATGGCCTTTGGCCATAGGAGGTCATTTCATCTGTGAAGTTTTGTGACTGCTAAAGACTGATATTCCGAAATAAATTTATGCTTTGGGCAGGCAGAGCAAGAAAATGAATGGCTTTTGAGATCGAGCTTGGTAGGTTAATAAAAGGTATTACGTGATATGGCTGTCTACAACGAGAGACTGAACTTGATGAGGTTTTAACAGCTGTATTTGCCGGGATCTCTGAAATGCTCTCTGTAGCACGCTGGCACTTGGTGGAGGCGTGCACGAGAGCGCTGCTCCTTGCAGAGAGGAGGGACCGGCAATGCCAGCAGCTGGGGCGCACAACGGAGAGGCAGCGTCAGACTTCTCCTTGCACTTTGCTCGTTGGGTATGACACCTACCCCTTCCCCCTCCTAATTTTGCTATTGCTTTGCGTTACCTTGCAGGGCAAGAATAACGATAGGCAAGTTCGTTTAACTTGTGGCCTAAACCCTTCCGTAAGACCTCGCTGAAGGTCTTGGGATTAATTTACAGTGCTGTCAAGGTCTTGTCTTACGTCAGATTGTTAGGACAAAACAGTGTGTTTTTCTTCAGCTGCTACGCATGCAGTATGTGTAAGGCTTTAATATTTAAGATTTAAATTGAAATGAAAGGGCAGCTTTAGCATTTATAGCCTGCAAATGGTGGTTTCAATGGGATGAGTAATTACACGCAGCAGGCAGGCTGACTCAGCTGTTACCACGCTTGCTATTGTACCGAACCGTCTGCTTTTCGGGGCGATGTTACAGTGCCATCTGGAGATTCAAAATCCCCCTGGGAACAGAGTCATTTTCCTCACGCTGGCTCGTGCTTTCTGCTTGCTCTCAAATGATCGCGCAGGTTCTGCTTAATTACGAGGCACCGCTTAGATTACTGCAAGGGACGTTTACCAGCGCTTGATGCGACGGTAACGAGGCCCCGCTCGTCGTGGGTGCCGTACGCGGGAGCTGGGAGGTATCCAGGGCTCAGCTGCAGCATCTGCTGTGGTTGGCCAAAGGCCAGTTGAGCACAGGCCAGAGGAGCCTCCGAGGGGGCCCAGCTGGCCGGGGGGGCAAGGTGTGTTGGCGCTCGGAGGTGTTCGCACACGCAAAGCAAGCGCGTGCTCCGCTGGAGCGGTGTAAAGCAAGTGAGGGAGATTCTGGTCTGAAGCTACCAGCAAAACAGATTGAGCTGGTCACAGTGAAAATGATCAGTTGCTCAGGCAGAAGCCAGTTCTAAAGATCTGTGACTTCGGGGACAGAACAGTTAGTTGCGGATCTAGAGTTTTGGAGAAATTCAGTCTTTGATTAAGTTATCCTCGTCATTCAAAGTTACTGATAGACTTTTATGCTGTCAGTTGGGTTTCCGTAGCCAGTAAAGCTGCTCTGGCAAAGAGCTGAAAAGTTACAACCCTGTTTGTTAGCTTTTCTTTCTTTGTGTCAATAAAGACCATTCACATTGCTCTGAGAGACCAAATTTTGCGATCCAAAACAATTCCTGGGATAAATCACGGTGGTTTGGCTGGTTCACGAGGGAGTCCAGGCTGAGAGTAAGGGCTGCTGCAGGAAGGTGGCAGGAACGTGCGGATGGGGACAGAGGAGGGCAAAATCTCCTCCTTGAACGACGGCCAGCACTTCAGCTTCAAGAAGCCACGGCCTCATTCTCTTCCCAGTGTGTCACTGGTCAGGCCTCACGTTTCTGCACTGGGCCGTTAGAGGCTCCCACCGAATTCAGATCCGTTGCGCTGCGGGGAAGCAGAGCCGGCTAACCAGCCTTGCTGGCTGCCGAAACGTCCTCTCTCTGCCTTGAGCCTTTTTTCCAGTTGTGAAAGAGTGCTGTCCTCTGATGTCTTCGCCAGATGCCAGGACAAAAGGCTTCATTTATTTCCGCAGTTATCTCTGCCCCCAAGGTGCAGTCTGCACTATGCACAATAGTCTATTTTGCACCTTCAGTCAGCTGGCTGGCAGCATGGCAGCCAGATTAAACTCGAGGCGTTTGGCCTGCTTACTTTGGCTGTGGTTCCGTAAGAGCAAGATAACGGCGACTGCAAAGACCAGCAGAGCCTCTAGTAGATCTTGCCTTGGTTTAGCTTGACGAAATGAAATGTGACGCTTTCTGTCTATAAATATAGCAGAAGAGGACCGCTTGAGCTAAAAGGCAGTATTGGCACAGGAACACAGTGGCCGTGAACAAAAACGTGGACTGGAATTAGAGGTTTCTACCCCACAGAGGAGTGAAGTTTGGGGAACGGCTTTGGAATGGAAGGGAGGAGAGTGAGAAACTAGCCGTTTTTAACGTGAAATTTGGTAAACTGATGACTAATGAAATGACTAACACTGACAGAGGTTTGAGCTCAGTCATCCGATGCACTCCTTTTAGACCATGTTTCTAACGACCTGTTTTCTTTGGAGTCCATTGCATGGATTTAAAAGAATTGGGATTCATATGGGGCTTTTTGCCCATTTCCGGGGGGCCCTGTGCTGTTAGGGGAAACAGCTGTTGGCTGCAAAGGATACTCCTCCCATACTAAATAGGAGAACAACACAGCGGAAGGACTGAGAGGGGTTGGAAACACTGTGACCCTGGTTTAGTGGGGATGTTTTAGCAAATCTTGGAGTGACAGTGGGTGAACGAGTGTAGGATGTGAAGTGGTCATCTGAGCCAAAGCAGGCTTTGGGAGACTAAAACACCCTGAGCAAGGTGGGAATGTTCTGATACTTTTACAATCCCCCAAACGTACCTGTGTGTCTGGGAGAGCACAGGAAGGGCTACAGAGCGTGCGGTGTGCGTGGGTGCTTAGAGATTCGAGTCCGGATTGCAGAGCTGGGCTGAGAGAATACACTGGAGGCCATCTGTGCTCGGACGGCTAAGACAGCAGATAGAAAACGCTCCCAATTTAGCAAAATGCAAGCCCCGAGGACTCCTTTCCATGTGCTGGCCGACTGATTTGAGAGTAGTCAGATGGGAAAGTAGCTCTACATTTAGTCCCACTTCAGCTCCACGGATAATCCCTGTGTGTGCGCTTCGTGCTTCTTTAAAGTAATCAATAAAGCTGATTCCTGATTCCAGCTGAAGGAAAGCACAGCGAGGTCAATTTTTGTTTGCTTTTATGTGGATTCAGCTCCTTTGTGGTTTGGTATTTTAAAAGAAGCCTGAGAAGGCAGACTCGTGTACACAGCTCGTGTTGTCAATGCCAATGCTCGATAGGCGGTTTTTGAAAACGAGGGATTGTTTGAGTGCTTGACAACAATTCTCCCAAAAACGCTCACTTTTCTTGTTTGACGTTTAAGATGATTTCAGAGGTTAAAGAAATGAACGCTATGGACCTAAGATCTAGCCTACTGCCTTGTAACGGATATGGAGAAGGACCGTGCTTTCACACTGGTAACACGTTTGTGTTGAATGAGTAAAGCTTTGCTGTCTTTGGTGGAATTTAACCTGACGCCAAGCTTACCTGCTCTGTTTCAAAAGAGAGATTTCTTTTGTCAGCTGTATTAAGTCATGCTGTAGCACTAATGAGGCCTCCTGAGCATTATTTGACTCTTATGAAACAAAATTGTGATCAATTAAGTGCAAATGAATTGGTACTAGCATATGTGTCTGAAAGCAGTCCAGTTATAGCAGGCTAAACAGGGTGATCAATGTCAGTACTGCCTTTCCGCAGCACTCCTGGAGGCTTGATGCAAAGTTTCATTTGGCTTCCAGATGGAGCATCAGAAGCAATAAGGATCACGTGGAAATTCAGGAAATTTAATCAGGCACGGTGGCCGGAACTGTTAGGGAAGGCGTCGCCTTGCAAGGAAAGCGCAGCAGCAGCGGTCTCTCCTCTACGCCTGCCCTTCTCAGACCTTTCCTTCAGTCTTAGCATCACAAGGGTCGCTGGTGGTGTGTTGGGGCTCTTAACAACCGTGGGTTATTAATGTGGCACGGAGAGATTAGAGGGGACATGGCAATTGTGGAAAGCATGGAGAAAATAATGATGAATCCTTACATTTATAAACCATCTTTAAGTATGGGGAATGATGGTTCTCAGTGAGTTTAATAGTTGTATATGTTAAGACAAGGAAAAGAAATGCATCTTCACGTAGCGTGGTCAGCCAGTGGAACTATACAGGAAAATATGGTTAGGAGTTGTGCTATGCTTGAATTTTAAAAAGAATGACCAACTTGCTGGGTTAAAGCTCTGCTTTCCTTAACGCAGAACAGAGCAACACGAACAGGATGGAGGCTTCCCCCAGTAATTGTGTGCTTAAGTTACTTTAAATGGCGTCTAGACTATTAGAAGTGACAAAAACTTATGAAAAAGTAATAATTTTTCTTCCAACAAAGAAGCCAGTAGGTGGCTGTTTTATTAGGAGCTTTGGAGCATTTTGAGGGTTTTGGGAATTCTTCCATAAAATATATTTTGAAAGAACTGTTTGCTTTCTGTATTAAAAAAAAAAAAAAAAAAGGTCTGGTCCTGTGGGCACAGTTATTAGATATTCTAGTTGATCTTGTCATCCCCTTGCTGTGGACCAAGTCCTGAATACTGATGCTGGAGAAGGAGTGGTCCCTGGTGAGGCTAGCACCACAGTGCCAGGTTTGGCTGTTAAATAGGACACTGAGACCAAACTAGTGGAAGGACAGTTGTCAGGACATGAAGTCACTGACTGAAGGATAATTTCAGGACTCTTCAAGTAACAAATTATCCTTTATTTCGTTCAAACTTGTCAAGTCGTTGATGGTTTTCTACCCAGCTAGTGGGTAAAAGACATAAGGATTTCTTCTGGGTTGGCGGAAGGAACTCGGATCTAATTGTGCTCATTTCAATAGAGAATGGGTATTAACTTGTAGGGGGTTAACAAGCTGGCCACTAGTGTCACCTGCAGTATCTCCTCCTTACTCTCCTTCCGTGATTTGGAGTGATTTGCTCTCGTTCATTCTGTCTACTTCCCTGGTTGGTGAGTTCACATGAGCAGCAGGTGATGCTGGCAGATTAGAGGTTTGAAGAGGAGAGGGGAAAAAAAAAAAAAGGCTTTTTTCCTTTACAGCCTTTTCATGGTGGAAGAATTTCTTGACAAAGTCCTTTTTGTTCTTAAAACATATCTGAAGAACTCATCCATAAATAAGTCACAGACTTGAGTCGTCTTCCAGCTTTTTGTGTCACCAGTTCAAAGGGATGTTTTTAGACTTCAGGTTTACTCATCCCAAATTCAGCAAGCTGTAATGCTCCTAGGCTAAGCATTTGTCTGTCTTTGGACCTATTCACAATGCTGAGCGGGGTGTGACACGCAGCCAGCGATCGTACGTATCTACGCTCGCTCAGTCCGCCAACGTGTGAGTAACATTGGCAGCAGAGGCTTCTGCGCCGGCCCGCGAACCACCCCAGGACCTTGCCACACTCTCCAAAGGCTACTCTTCATTGAAGTCTGGGCCAAGCCCAGAATTATTGGGAGATTCTGGGCGTCTCCATCCTCGGGAACATCAGCTGATGTAGCAGGCGGGTCCAGGTTGCATGGAGTGGTAGTCATGCATTTAAATGCGAGGGCTGTGCAGCTCTCTGCTCTTTCCAGCCCATTTCTCTCCATCAACACTAAGTATAAAAACGTGATTTCCTTCAGAAAGGAAAGAATTGTTAACCAGGTTGGTTAGTTAAGAGTATAAAGATCTGTGTGGTTGAATTCAGGCACACTTTAGTGAGTCACAAGACAGATGGGCCCTTACACAAATGTCTTTTAAGCAAATGGAGCTATAACGGCCTGAAACGGGCTTTGGAGCTCGAGAGTCCAATAATATGAAAGGGAAAGATGTGCTTTTGAAGAGAAGGCAGGGTGATGGGGCACCAAGTGCGGCCGCAGCAGGTTCACGCTGTGGTTCAGGAGGCCAGGCCAGACACGCTGCCCCACTGGCGGACGGGGCCCCTGGCCGCAGCCGGGACGGGAGCGGGCAGCAGGGTTCGCGGCTGGAGCTGAGGTCTCATCCTTCAGCTCACTATTGGCTTCACTTCATTTTTTGAGCGTTTGGGTCACAGAAGACGCGGGGAGCTGGGTTCAAATATCACCTCCTGGGAGCCCAGCCCCTCTTTGACTGCTGCATCCCCTTTGCGTGGGTGCAACGGAGCAAGTGACCTCTGCAAACGTGCCGAGGGAGCACCTCCGGCCCCAAATTACCCTCGTGGCTTTAGCTTTTCCTCGGCTGTGGCAGAGCCAGCGCAATCTCACGGAAGCGCGCTACGTTTTAGTACCAGAGTTGAAAAATCAAATAAACCCCGCAGGTTTCGAGGCAGAACGCTTGTATGGGCACCGTCCAGCTTCGCGGACGCCTGCGGAAGGCTGCGACCAGCTGAACAAGTTGAAAACGAGCTTGCCTTTTTGAGCCGAACACTGATGCTTGTTTGTGATGACTTGCTAGTACGTCCTGTGAGCCTGCGTGGAGCTGGGATCGGTTATCTAGCTACGGTCTGCTGCTGAGGATTAATGAGTTAATATATGTGGAGGCAAGAAAAGGGGACGTGTTAGCTGGCAGTAGGATTATTAGTAATTGTTAGATAACAACTCCGTATGACAGAAGATGAGCTGCCTTTCCAGCCCAGCCTATAAAACAGGGATTAAACACTACTGAAAACACCATAATGGTGAACGAAGCCTATGAGATGCTTAATGTGAAATTCCAGTCTGAATTATTTAATTTCTTCAGTGCATCCAGCGCTCTGTGTGAACAGGAACGTGACTTGTGTAATTGCTCTCTTTGGGCTTGTAGTGTTTCGCAAATGAACCTTAACAGAGCTCTGGGTTTTTTTCTTGATTTTTTTTTTTTCCTTTCAATTTTTTCCAACAGGAATGTCCTAGTGGGGTTGTTAATGAAGAGACGTTCAAACAGATCTATGCACAGTTTTTTCCACATGGAGGTAAGCAGAGTACTTTGCGTCTGTCAGGTTTGTTGAGGCATGTCTTAACATTCGTTATTGCCAGCTGGCTGCAAAACTGCTTTGGATAATCTGTGCTAGAAATGTGAATTGCACTTAGGCTTTGCAAAATCTGAACCAAAAATGCAGAGGGCAAGGTAAGGAAATTAATTTAGGCCCTTGGAATAGTTATTTCACAAGAATACAGACAAACCCGCAGTGAAGGTTACTACTAGCTGTCAGCCCTTTTTTCCCCACAGTAAACGGTGCAAGTCTAGAATAGAAATGGGGGATTGATTCTCTTTTCTGCTACTGACTTGCTGGATGGCAGAGAATTCAATCGTTTCCCCTCCGTGCATTTTCAGTTCCCCTGCTGTTGGACTGCAGTGCTTATAGTATCTAGCACGGAAGGATCCCAGACCTATTTTTGTCCTACAAATAAATCAAAACGTTCCAAAAATTCATGGAGTAGTTCTCAGTAGGCCTATGAACACCTAGGCAGCTGAAATAATAATTCCTGGTGTTTGAGTGACTAATTAAGACAGGGTCACTTCATGCACTGGAATATTAAAGTACTGTATTTAATCTCTCAAATAGCATACGTTGTTGCCTTCTAAAAATATCCAGAATCTATATGGTCTTGTAACTGGACATGTTCTGTAGGGATATATATACACACACACACACATATATATACATATACATGAAAGAAACAAATCATGGTTTTAAGCTTTTTTAAATAAAAGATTCAAAGTTGGAGGCTTCCCAAATATACCCTATTCTGTAATAGCTGCAGAATGCCATCATTGTGGGAAGGTGATTGAAGTTTCTGCAAGCGTGTGTATGTGCATTTAGTTTAAGGAGGTCATTAATAAGTGGTTTCTGAATTAAATATCAAGATAATCATGCTATGCTTATCTGTGTCTTACAATGTGTGTGACCTCAAAGATGTACACCTGCGAAATGTTCACGTTAAATTTCAGTACGGATGTGCTGATTTTTATTGTTGCTTCTGTTCTGTTTTTAAAAAGCAACGAGGCCATTCTTGTTTTTTAGCAGATATGCAGAATATTAAGCATTTATAATAGTAATGTAATTCTGGATGTATTTCATGGTTCCAGTAACCCCGAGGACCTCCAGGTACCCCGAGTAACTGCACTAACTGCTCTTGTTAGTGACACACACTTCGGGTGACTCTTTCCTATGTGGGGAAAAACAATTGGGCACAGAAACCTCCGCTTTTCGTGGGTAGATTCCTTTTTTCCCCCCCTCTACTGAGGTTGACAAAGATTTGCTGCTATTTTGGTTTGTGTCCCATTCCCTTGAAATACAGTTCTGCTGTGGTAATGATGCTGGTAGTGCAACCGTGCCTAGCAATAAGTCAGTTTAACAGCAGAAGTATTTTCAGGTTCTCCACTGTTTTCTTTCCAAACTATTTGTATAACCTTACCGTGTCATAAATTGTGGGATTTCGGATTCCTCAGAGATTTTTCTCACTTTTATGGCTCTCCGTACAGATACACTTGTATGTCCCAGATGTAGTGACGTACCTCCGAATTACAAATCTTTGTGCAGCGTCATCGCAGGCTGTGTTGCACAAGGCTTATATCCATGACAGGTTTTCGTTTTTGCTAAATTGCCATCAAACGTTACTAGTGATCTAGTGTGTCTTTATGTATACTATCTGCTATTGAAATAAAACATTTAGTTTGATATTTTAAATAATCTTTTACTTTAGCTTAGTAAGGCTTTTTTTAGGGGTGTGTTGCTAATAATTCCATGTTTTTCTTGTGGAGAAATTTTCTTTCTGAATCTTAAAAATGTAGCAGCCAATTATTTTTTTTTTCCTGCGGTCTAGCATATTCTGGGGCTATGAAGGAAGTAACCTGAGCATTTGATTTTTCTGCACGTTGCTACTCTTCCCTGGATTTGAATAATGTGAAAATACTTCATCGTTTCATAAGGTTCAGACCAAAGAGATGCTGAGGTCATTCCATGTGAATGCCTTCGTAGCACAGGTCATTAAGTGTCACCAGATGCCCAAACACTGAGTGTGAAGACTCAAGCTAAACTAACTCTGTGTGCCAGAGGCAAAGAGCAGAGGAGAAAAAAAAGTGCATGGCTCCTTGAATAGCAAGGAAATAATTAGGTGATATTAATGCCAGTTGCTTCCATTTTCTAAAAGTTGGCTCTAGTAACCTGGAAAAAAGTGTGTATTGCCTCCAGAGCAGAGAAGAGGCCAATGAAGGACTTGAGGTCAAACATTTATTTGATTTTTTTTTTTTTTCCTGTGTACTGCTGTTACTGTTTTTCCCTGATAACAACTGTCCTTTACATGGCTGAAGCTCAGGCCATTGAAATCCTCCTGTTCAAACTGCTTCCGTCTGCCCCAGCCGTTCCCCAGCATCCCGCTGCCATGGAGGTTCCCACCGAGATGTTACCGGCACGTCCAGCTTTCCTTGGTTGCTTTCCATAAACCTCATATAGCTAATGCTGAAGGACTTAGCCTGGCAAAGCTGGAGTTTGGAGGCCCTCGTCTAATTTGGCAGAGACGATCTTGGGTGCTCCCTTGCTTTTTAAGTACAGTCCCATAATCCAGATCATTACCACTGCAATAAAAGCTTTTGCATTTCCAGGCTGTTCTTCAGAGGAGGGGGAAGGATCCTACGTAATTCCACAATAATTTCTATTAGTTCCTAGAATACCTGAGGAAACTACAAAGTTGCTTTTTATAATGGAAGAAAATGTGGTCATGAATGTTGTTTAGAGCCATTAGCGTACAATGAACTGCTGTATCAATTAGTGCCTTTTGTGTCTTTCAGATGCTAGCATGTATGCACATTATCTCTTTAATGCATTTGACACTGCACAGAATGGCTCAGTGAAGTTTGAGGTAATTGTTTTGCATCTTATTTTGATGCCTTTTTCTCAGTTTTGTGTTTTGAAGCTTCTCCATCCATCATCCATTATAAACAGGTAGGATTTGCTGGATTACAGTTTAGAGGTTTTAGACTGCAAAGGGTAGATATTTTAAAATTTCATTCATTTTGGTTAAGGCTTTTTGTGCAGATGGAGTTGCACATTTTCTTTGACTAGAGAAACATATGGTTCACATTAGACAATACCACAGGCAATGTTAATCTTGGAGGGCGAAACTACGGCGAGTGTTGCAGCAGAGAGGAGAGGCTGAGGTCAGAGCTGTATGAGAAGAGACCAGCGAGTGGCACAGATGGTTTGGAGGTCAGAGGAAGGCAGTGCATCTTATGCCTTCTGCAGTCATCCCAAAATGCATAGCAGGATAACACTTGTATGTTTTTGGAATTTTTTAAAGCTTATTTATTTAATATATTGAACAAGCATCTCAGATACTTGGCTCCTAAGAGAAAGCAACCTACCTGTTAACTAAAAAGGCCTGTTGCTGTGGCCAAAAATAGCCACCCTTAAAGCTCACACACACAGTAATAGAGGTGCAGGTAACAGCAAAGGGAGATGTTAAGTAGGACACCTGAAGAGGATGAACTTAATCATTTAGAAGACAGTTTAGTGGCTGATCATAAAACCAGAAATAATACGCAGTCCGTCCTTTGCCATCACACGGCCAAGAATCCCAATAAATCTCAGGTTGGACTGAGAAATCATATTTATCCAATGTGGAAGGGAGATGTTAGCATACGTATATGTGTCTCCCTTTAGTGGCAGCTGCAGTGGGAGCCATGCATATGGCAAGTACTCAGTAGAACGTTAGAGGTTTCCAGAAACCTAAATAGACCAAAACAAAGCAAAATGCTTAGATAAGTACTTAAGAAAAAAAAAAAAGCGCTGAGCTTTCCTTCCTGGCAAACCTGTCTCTTTAGTACTTGTCAAACATAAGCATTTTGTCCCCTTTTTTTGTATTGTTCAGCAAATGCAAATTCCTCTGAGCCCTAGAAAGAAGGAGCAACAGTTTCTAAGATGTGGTGCGCTGCCCCATGCAGTGCTGGTGGAGATAACACAGGAAGGACTAAGTAAATTAAATCAGGTACCAGGAACAGTAGAGCTGCATTAGCTTGAAGCTCTGCCTCTGCTAATAAATCCCTGTAGTGATGCTGCTCTCAGTACCTGAGCCGTTATGCAGTATAAACAATAAATCAAAGTTAGTGGAAGCAATAACTTAATTGTAAACAGAAAACGATTAAAAAGCGATATCCCAGACTGGGGAATTAGTGGCGAGGGTTATATCTGACAAATGTGTCAGAGGTCTTGCCCGAAGAGGAAGGCTGAGGCTCTCTGTGTTAGAATATACTGTGGCGTGAAGAGGCTGGGCTCTCCCTGTCCCTCTCCAAAGAGGGCGCAGAGACCTTTGTGGACACAGTTTTGGAAAGCAGGGGGAGCAAAGAGGTTGGCTCCATGCTGTATCCTAAAAAGAAAAGCTTTTTGAGTGGCTTTATGAAGGCAGTGACTCGGAAAAGCATGGTATTAAAATTCACGTCTGTCTCTCTCTCTGCCTTAAACCAGGATTTTGTGATGGCATTGTCAATTCTGTTGCGAGGAACAGTCCATGAAAAGCTAAGATGGACGTTTAACCTGTACGACATAAATAAGGATGGCTATATAAACAAGGAGGTAAGACTGTTTCTGACACGTCTGGTTATTTTTGAAGAGAGCTGACGGGTTTCTGTTGCAGAGCATAATTAATTTTGCAGGCAGCTAATTAAATGCAAATCAGACTGGACACGAGCATTTATCTGTGTCTAAATAAAGTGCGTGGTGATCTTGTATTGCATGTTTTTGTAGCCATGTTTTGCTATGTTACAGTGCCTGTAATGGATTGCTTTAGCCAGAAGCCAAATCCTAGTTATAGGTATCCACAGAAATAACCTCTGCGAAGGGGAGGGTATTGGGGACGTCAGGTATGCGGTGACTGAGGTTCAGGGATCATGCTGACATCTGTGTGCAGGATCATCCAGGTAGCTCAGGTACATCTGGCTGCATTGGGATGATGGTGTGGGCTTACCCAAGGTGCTGCAAGCCCACAGCACCACTCACAAGGCGGTGGTGTTATGTAAGGTTATTTTATTACCTACCATTTCTTGTTTTCTCAGTGGGAAGCTTTAGTTTTGAGCACGGTAACCTGATCATTTCCAGAATTTTACATGAGGGCACACATGGGAGTAGGCCTGCTCTGACCAGTCCCACATAGGACATGGTCTATCGCCTTGAAACTACTGTGGGCAGCTGGTGTGCTTGTTCCGCGTGGTCCCTGAGCCGCGCAGTAGCTTGTACAAGGCACGGAGAGGGGCCCTGTGTGGTCTCCCAGGACAGGTGTGGAGCTCCTGGCCCTGGTGGAGGTCTGGAGATGTGGGCTGCAGCAGCAGCCCTGCCCGCAGCGGTGGTCTTGACCAGGCTGGCCGTTTCGGCACTGCGGGAGCTGCAGCGCTGCACGGCCAGGTCCCGAAATGGGATTGCAGGAGCCTTGCAAGGGGCCGCTGCCAAGTCACGGCAGCGTGAGAAAGATGCACTTGGTTCTCTAGATTAACTCAAAGCTGGTAAGACACCTGTCTCTGTGCGTGTGTCTAGGCTTTCTCTGGAGTTGACAGCAGGTATGAGCCCAAGGTCTGCACTGTTCTGTAAGGGAAAGCGAGTGAAGAAAAGGGCAATAAAAGAAATAAACGTGCCATCGTTTTATTAACTTTCCTGTTGTGTTTTTGATGTCATGTCACTACTGCAGGAAATGATGGATATAGTAAAGGCAATTTATGATATGATGGGAAAGTACACATATCCAGTGCTCAAGGAAGATGCTCCGAGGCAGCACGTAGAAGTATTCTTCCAGGTACTTATTTGATTTCTGATGCGTTTTTCTTAGCGTTTGAGCTATGCATTGATATTCTTTACTGTAAGGTTAGTCCTAAGGTCATTGTTACTCTGTGCTACACGTCCCAGAAAAAACCCTAGCAGCCATCCGTCCGTGTCCAGCAAGCCTAGAGATGTCCCATCTCCCAGCTGGGGAGGTGCTTCTCCTCCCAACCGCTTGTAAAAATAGAGACAGGAATATGGGTGTCTGTTAGTGAGGTCCTGAAGAAATAAATGATGTAAGATGGGTTGAGGTTGCTGTGTACACCCGGGAGGAATAGTTGGAGATGACCTCAAAAGTGCTCCAAGCATCAGAGTAAACAAGTCCTTAGCTGCCAGCAAATTTAATCTATGGCACTCAGTCTGCAGTCTAAGCTTGTAAAGTGCCCTAGATTTATTCAGGCTGCCACAAATATGATACTGTACTACACCTGCAGAGTTACATATGAAAACCAAAATTGTTTACTTTTATTTTGCAGAAAATGGATAAAAACAAGGATGGTGTTGTAACCTTAGATGAGTTTATTGAATCATGTCAGGAGGTAAGGCCAAAATTACAACCGCGATGAAAGGACTAGCTCGTGCCGCAGTGTGTGTACTCGCTTGGAGCGAACTCTGTTTGAAACGAGCTGCAGGTTTCTTTGCGCTGTGTAAAAAGCAGCCACAGGATTCAGTTTGCGGTTGGGATCTGAGAAGCCCGCTACCGATCAGGGAGCGCAGGGTCGGGCCGAGCGCTGGGGAGAGCCTCTTCGTTCCCAGTGCTCGTGGCCAGTGCTTGTATTTGCCTGAGTGAATTGCAATACCTGATTCTGTGACAAGTACATAACTCTTGAGAAAGCTAATAAAGCCATTAACCTTCCTCAGTATTTTTCTTTAAGAGGCTGACAGCATCTCTCCGAGCTGTCCCTGACTGTCATTAACAGGTACCACATTGCTGAAACAGTCCAGAGCCAAAGGTCTCTTTATGACCTTTGTAATTACAGCACGGTCTTGTAAAACCTGCTGATGGTTTCAAGGTCACACATTAAAATAAATTGCTGTAATCACCACAATGCTGGTTTTCTCTTTTGAAAATGAACTCCCTCTCGCAAATCCCATACGTTAAATTAGTTGTAATACATATTTGCCGCTATTTTTAGCGCTGGCACAAAGGCAAGCATCTGCAGGGATATGAAATCAGCCAAATGTCTATTGTCCGAGACTGTAATTAACTGTGTGACTTTGGCCAGAGGTGTAAATAGTTGTATACCAGCCATCCTGTGCTTTTCACTTTCCCTGGGAAATCTGTCCCGTACTGCGGTCAGACAGCCTGAGCCCGTACTTGAGCGATGGCAAGACGCTCAAGGGGCTGGGCTACCGTCCTACCCCTTGCACATAAAGTCTGGATCTGGTAAGATGTGGGACTTTCTCGCACAGGGATTTGGGGGGAAAAGCGCCTGGTGAGCAGATACTTAATGGAAGGCTACTTTATTTCCGTTACTACGTTTTTGATATCTCCTGATTATTGGTTTATTTCTGGCCCCTTCTTTAATTTGAGTGTTTGTCTCCAGGTTGTATTTCATTTTTTGCATTCGTAATTTGTCCTCAAGCTGGATGTATGTGATAAGTGCTGTGAATAGTGGTTGCAGTGTTGAAGCAGCTTCACTTTACTTGAAAAACATTATAGTTTCTTTAATGCTCTGCCATAGTTTTGGTTTGGTTGGTTGCCCTTGACCTACTTGTGTTAGGAGCCGTGCAGGTTGATATGCTGTAATGCATGCTTCCCTTGCAGATAGGAGCCCTGCAACACCAAGATAGGTTTTTTTTTCTTTATGCAAAACAAGCAAATGTGCATTATAATGCATACCTCTGCCCTTTTGGAGGATATGGCTCATGGACAAAGAACTCCAAGCATTGCTTTGGAGAGGGTGGTTGGTTCGCCATGCAAGGTGCTGCCTGGTACTAGTACCTGCAAAGCCGTGTTAGAGGTGAGGTGGGTGGATGTTGCTTTGCTTGGCGGATGTAAGGATGACCATGTTTTCAATGCCTCTAAAAAAGAGAGGGAAAAGAGATGCCATAAATCTCTAAGTTGGCGTTACAGCCAAACAGCTATTCTGACTTTTGGAATAACTAAGCTCCTAGGGGGAAAAAAATGTATCTCCTGTTTTTTGAATATTACTCTGGTGGTTACCTACCTCAAAGTAACATTGCAAGTCACTTCATAAGAAACAGTCTTGTATTTCCCTTGTGTGTCTCCAACTTTCTCAGCTGGATCTAAGAACCTCAGAGAGGTTGGGATTTCATATATTTGAATTTTGAGCTGGTTGTGTTTCTAGAATCAAGCGTTCCTTCAGGGTAGCTTGCTTTTCAGTTCAAAGCCTGCAATTTTATTTAGACTGTTCAAGCATATTAAGTTAAGTGCACGCTTTTGTGTTTAGGATCAATGGGATTCTGTCTGGGCACTGAGGTCCGAGGGCTCAGTGCAGTCACCAGCTCAGGAAAGAGTTTAAACGCTGATGTCAGGTATTTAGTAAAGCACAGCACATGCTGAACAGGAGAAAATCCTGTGCTTGCATGCTTCAATCTGACTAAGGTGCTAAAGTACAAGGGGATGGCTTTGCAAGACGCAGGTGCTGAATCCGTTCAAGCTTGTCAGGGATCAAGTGATGCAAAAGCAAGGCCACTGCATGTTGTAGCACTGCGGAGCACCTCCTGGGCCAAACGAGGTTATGAACAGGGCTTTGTCAGTACTGGTTTTGTGACAATGTCTTCTCATTGCTTCCAGGATGACAATATCATGCGATCCTTACAGCTCTTTGAGAACGTCATGTAGCCACCTCAGGAGAGCACTGTAGGAGTCAGAGACTTTGTGTGTAACGAAGACCTCCTTTCTGGGTGAAAGCTTTTTACAATTCGGCCATGTCCAGGGTGTGAGGATTTTGTATGACATCTCCAACCAAATGGTAACCGAACGCGACCAATCTCATCTCTCCTTCTCAAGAGACACTGGTGGAACTTTATTTCTTTTTGGAAGCATGCGAATATGTTAATGAAACCTGACGAGAGAGAGCTGCTGCTTGGAGTTCAATGAGTAATATACAACGTTCTGTTTGCTAGGCACAAGTCCTGCTTTTAATCTAGCAAGCTTGATTACATATGATAGCACATGTCAATAGCTTACTCGGCCATCTATTGTGAGTGAAAAGCTCAGTCCATAGCACCACGCGGCAAAATGCTTTATGAATGCCTTGCCGTTTTTTTGCGTTGACAAAAGTCTAATCTACCGGGGCGACCTGTGAGGTTGTACAAACGAATGCTTGAATGTACCTAGTATGTTAAGCAGACAGCCCACATAGCCAGTATCCCCATTTCTGCCGAGATCCTGCTTTTCCTCTCACATGCACTGGTGCCACCACCCTGAGTTGGGTGGAGTTGTCCCTGAACACATTAACTAGAGGAGTTTCAAGCCAGTGTGAGCCAGAAAGGAGCAAAGCAAGTGTTGCACGTGCAAATTCTAAACTACAGAACAAATCCTATTGAATGCTGGTAAGGTCTCAGAAGACCCGACAGGATGATGAGGGCTGGCACATGAAGATGTGTACCGACGGTATTCCCAGCATGTGGTGGGACACCAGGTGATTCTCCAGAGAATAGGGTGCCTCTCTGCAGCACTGTGGCCATAGGCCATGGTCCTTTCGTTGTAATTGGGCACACGCTGCATGGATGCATCATTTGAATGTTTATATTTTTCCAGTGGATGTTAAAGCAAAGCATTTCCCTCTTTATGAATTTATTTAAGCTTTCTGGTTTTGCTTAGTTGCTTAGGGTCCAGGTGAGGCAGCTGTGTTTCTTCATACAGACCTTAGTGCCTCCAGAGCATCCTGTAGGCTTAACTGGGGGCTAGTTGGTTGCCCTTAGGCTCAGAGCTTCCAAGCCTAAATGTTACTTTGTATAATTCAACATGTCATACTGCAAAATCTTTCTCCCACAAGGCAGTTTCCTGGGGACATCCATGACTTCAACTAGTCCCACTTCCTTACTAATGTCAGGCAGAGCATTGGTTTGGGGGTTTGCTTTTTTAAGTAGTAAAACAGAAAGAATCGTGTAGTGAAGTTGGATTTTTGCCCAGTAATCGTCAGCTAAGGCGTATTTCCTAGCCTGCTTTGCAGAGGACACCAGGAAAGCTAACATCAGAGCACCGTTGTAATCTCCTGGCAGCTAATGGCTGAGAAACCAAGGAAAGGAGAGAAGGACCAGCTTTTCCAGCTGCTTGAACCACACACAATAATACATAGTCCCCTGCCATAGTGCAAGATCGCTGCCATCCAGTACGCATATATTTTTATTGTATCAGATAATGTATTACAAATATACTGTTGGCACTGAAAATATATTTTAAGTATTATGTAAGCGGAAGCTTTTTATAGCACAAAATATATAAATGCCTCATTTCTGTAGCCCTATATTTTATAAAAAATTGATCTATTGAAGTATTCCTGATTATAGAAATAGGTCTGATCAGTAGTAGTGTGATGCTGTGCTTATTCCTCAAGATGGCAAGTTTCCCCTTTTACTGTGCTCTTGCACACACTGCTGCACAGTCAACTTTATTCCCTTGAGTTGCCTCTTTGTCATCAAAAGCGCTATTCAAGGGAGGAAAGTTACGTGTGGGCAGGAATGATACTTTAGTCTATTCTATTTATTACCTTTCAAACAAACGCTATCAATTAATTGCTTCCTAGCAATGATATGGAGCATAACAACTCCAGTAGTCTGCTGTGATTCACGAAAGCAGTGTGATACTATGAGAGTAGCCTTGTCCTCTAGTTATCCCACCTATTGTCCGTTTAATTTTTATCTGATAGGCACTTGATAAAGGCATTGCTGCTTACTGCTGAAATGGTGCAGAATGTTTATTCTGTTCCTTCCTAATTCTTGCAACCAGTTTAGTGAACAACAGAATTTAATGTAATGCGCAAACTTGCTTTTTTGTTCTGTACTGAAAGAGCATCTGGCCGTTGTCAGTCTGAGCAATCAGCTTCAGCTGAGGGAAAAGTGGTCAAAGAAAAGTGGGGAGCAAGCATTTTCACTGAGCTAGCGTAGTGCCTTTCTCCTCGAACAGTGTTGCCCCAAACGTGCTCATGAGATGGCACCTACAGCCTGAAAAGTTCTCAAAACTTGAAGGTGCCCTTTTCAAAAAGGACAAAAACACTATCAGTTGCGTTATTCCATGGTCCCTGAGGCCAAATTAATTTCTAGACTAACTTTGGTGAATTTAGCCTCTGCTGTATTTTCTGTGTTTTGACCCCTGGATGGGGGGGACGCTGGTTGCCTGTGTTGTAGGGCCTGTAGCTGCTCTCCGTTGAGCGTGGCCCTGGCTTGGTAACACGCGTTAAACGTTTGAATGTTGCTCTCAGTATATGCTGAAGTGTAACGCTGAATTCAGGCCACCATTGGTGACTCTGCAGTTCCAGCATCTGCTTCGCAGCTCCACAGGTGCACAGCTGATCTCCGCTCTCGGTAGCATCAGGGTGCGTGTGGTGGGGACAGAGGTAGACGCTGAGAGCGTCGCTGGTCCCGGTTCTGCTCTCAAGGGAGCCAGAGGCATAACCAACCCCAGTGACAGTCTTGCAGGAGTCCAGACCCCGTCTGAGCGTAGCTGTGGTGGTCAGCCCTGGGTCGCTGCCTCTCTGCATGGACGTGTCTTTTGGGTTTGTTCTTCACGTTCTCGGTGAATGTTAGCTTGCAAACTTGTGAAGCCTCCCGTCGCTCGTAAATGGGGCAGGCAACGTTTACGGCAAATATTGCTGCAGCTTTCTAGGTAAAACATAGTAGGCTAGTCTAATCTCCTGCCCTCCTAAATCCTGCCACCCGTATGTGTGAGGTGGCTACTGTGCTGGCTTCTAAGTTACAGTTAGACTGTCAGTGCTATCAGCTGTGCAGACTTTCTCAAAAGTTGTGAATGCTTAAATATTATGTCTGAATTATTAGTCCGTTTCATTAGTTACAATCATTAATCTGCATATTCACACCAGCAATTAAAAAGAAAAAGAAAAAAAGCTTTTCTAACATGCATTCTGGGCAACAATCTGTTGAAAAATTGTGATTAACAGTAATGCAAAAAAAAAAATTGTAGCGTGTCTGTTACTGTTGCTGTTTGTTTTCCTGTTACTTGGAAAGCATTGCAATGTTGTGAGTAATCGCGAGTCAAGCTATAAACCGGGCGGGATGGATGTCATAGGGTCCCAGCACCGTAGGCAGACCTTTGACATTGCTGGGTTGTGACACATACGGAACCCAAACACCTCTGTGTCAGCGCGTGCTCTCTGAAAAGACGGTAGCAGCAGTGTAACGACCTTTTTTTTTCTTTTTTCCTCCTTCTTCATGGAAGTGCCATGAAAGACTTAAGGAAACGTGCAAATAATACAACTTGTGATAACTAAAGCCATGTTAATGGAGCAGCAGTGCATAGCTTCACTCTCACAAATGCTATTATCCAATGGCAATTTGTCTTAAATTTTGTCAAATGGTTTTAAAAATGTTGGTTTTAATACTAAAAAGCAAATATCTGTATGTGTGTGGGGGGGTGTCCTTTCATAAGCCCAGTATGTTTTTGTTTTTTTTTTTTAAGGGACACTGTCAGGTTAAAAAATGTACAGCCAGATTTTGAAAAACAGGGTTCTGCTGTAAACACGCATTTATCCACGTAGAGGCTGTTAAACCGATAAACTGTGCTGTGAGTGTAACATTGACATACTAATGTTTTATTTGCATCGCTGATAGAGGGATGCTCTTGTATCTGGTGCGGTGACATACCCAACTGATAGCCTGGCCCTTGTGTAAACAGAGCTCAAAAATGTTCTACCCGCATCACTGATAATATCTTGGAATAGTAAAAACTCAAAGATTATGGACATCTTTTTTTCTGTTCAGCGTTTGTGCTGGTTTTGCTTAAGCACATCCAAGAGAACAGCTGACTAGGTTGTAGAAAAAGGCAAGCGCTGTTCTGTGTTAGAGCTAAGAAAAACAAAACGAAACCTATCAGTGTCCCTTCCTCTGTGGTTTGTTGCAAACATTCATTCTGACACATGAAGAAATGCAGAAGAAATTTTGCGAGACTATACCTCTCTCTACATAAATATATATATACGTGTATATATATAAAGATAAATATAATTTGCTAAGCTCCATTCGGTAGGATATATCTACCAGCACATCCCAAGAAAAAGAGCATTCTCTCGCGTACATGCAGAAACGTGAAAATAAAGGTGTCTGTGTGCAACGTGGTGTGGGTGTCACACGCTCGAGGGCTCTGGGGACGGGGCAGCGCTGCCCGAGCAGCCG